CCTGTTCCTTATTTTCTTCGAACTCCTCTAGTGCCTCATGATTCTCCTCCTCCTTTAGCTCTTCCATCTCCCCCTGCATCTTCTCCGCTGCTGTTTCCTCCATCTCCTCATTTTTCTCCTTCTCATTCAACTCCTCTCCCTTCCCCTGAGTTTCCTCTTCCTTTAATTCCCTCACCTCCTCCTGGTTGTCCTCTTCTTTTATCTCGTCCACTTCCTCCTGTTTCTCCTTTTCCCTCAACTCATGCACCACTTCCTTCTCCAATTCCTCTACCCTCTCCTGTTCCTTTTCCTCCACCTCCTCCTGTTTCCCCTCTTCCTTTAGCTCTTTGACCTCACCCTGCTTTTCCTCCTCCACTTCCTGCTGTTTTTCCTGTGCATTTATCTCCTCTACCTCCTCCAGTTTCTCCTCTTCCTCTATCTCTTCCCTCTCCCCCTGCTTTTCCCCTTGCTTTGACTCCTCTTCTTCATCACTCTCAGTCTCTATTGTCTCTTTCTCAGTTTGAATTGTCTGGATTTTGTCCTCACTGTCTTTCTCTGTGTCTTTAACAGTTTCCTTTAACTCATGTTCATCACCAGCACTTTGTGTGGCCCCTTGTTGCACATGTAGATATAAGTCCTGATCTGCATTGTTTTCCATCTGTGTTGTGCTCTCACTAGTGGAAAACATTCTTCTGTCCTCCTCTGAGGCATTTTCATTCATCATTTCAGTACCTCCATCAGTATAATGGGATGAGTCAAACTCCTGAGAGCTGTCCTCAACAGGGTGCAGCTCCCCCTCCAGTCCTAACTCACCCTGCTGTGTTTCTGTATCTGTATTACTATCAGTCATAGCAAGTGATTCTGAGTGTTCAATATTGGTTTCCACACTGTGAGCAGGTAAACTGTCATCTTCACTATAGACTGGTTCATTTCTCTCCACAGTTGTGCCTGATGATAAGAAAGGCTGACTCTCGCCACCTCTGCTGACTTGACTTTGTTCTGCTGAGTCATCATTCTGAGTCGTGGAAATTTCTCTGTGAAGAACACCTGTTTCTGCATCATTCCTTTCACCTTCATGACTACTTGCATTAATTTTTATAGACGCATCTGTGGATTCCTCTGTGTTCTGATTGATCTGATTTGGGATTTCGGCAACTTCCTCAACAATGTCATCTGCTTTGTCCTCAACCTCGCCTACAGATCCTCCCATGGAGTTTGAAGTTAAATCCACAGAACTCACATCAGGCCCTAAATTTATGTCAGATTGTGTAAAAACACCCTGATCAGTGTCACCTGCAGTTTTAATGTCTTGTTCCCCTCGCTCTCTGTTCTCATCCTCGCTCTCATTCTCTGTTGATTTGGGCATCTCGTGGTCTTTACCTTCCATTTCTTCTGATCTTTCCAAGTCTAGGACATTTTTCTCTTCCATGTAAATATCTGAAGCATTATCTTCCTCTTCTTCCTCACTGTTGTTGAGCTTCGAAGACATTTCACCTACAGCCTTGGGCGCTCTCTCTAACTCAGTCTGAGGCGTAATATCTTTTTGATCAATCTTGGATGCTGCATCTTCAGGGAAGACACTATCCTTGCTACTGTCTGAAGTACTTATCATATCATTATTATCACTGTCAGCACTGACTCTAATCTCTGATGGGGCATCTTGGTCATTCTGAGTTTCTTCCACCTCCAGTTCATTTGTAGTTATCTCCTCTGTCAGTGCAGGTTGTGATTGACTGGTATCCATATTCTCTGAGCTTGTTGGTTGTTCTAAGGTTATGTCCTCTTCTGTCTCCTTTAAACCACTTCCTGTGCTCTCGTCAACTTCACTCTTGTCATTCCCAAAGCCTAACATGTCCCCAATCCCCATATCCAACCAAGAAGCAGGCTCTGGCTGTTCGTCTTCCTTGGCTTCTATTTCAGCTGTTGTCTCACGTCCTGACTCCTGATCAGTAATGCCAAACCCCAGCGTACTCGACAGTCCATTTCCTAGCCAACCCAATGTCCCCATCTCTTTCTTCTCCTCTTCATGTAATTGGCTGCCTTCTAAATCTAGAGACATCCTCCTGCTCCTGAATTTCTCTGCTGGTTCTTCCTCATTGTCTCGTTCTTCACCTTGCTCTTTTTCTACTGAATCATCTGTTTTTTTCTCTCCTCCAAAGCCAAGCCACCCGGTCATGGTTGAAGTAATAGAATCATCACTTTCTCCGTCTTCTTCTCTACTTTCTATAGCATCATCAGGTTTTCCATCTCCTCCCAACCCCAGCCACCCTGTCACTGAAGAAGCGACAGAAGCTCCGGCCTGCGTCTCCTTTCCCTCATCTTCTTTCTCTCCGTCAGCCAAATTTTCAGCTTCTTCCTCTTTAGCAAGACCTAACCATCCTGTCACTGAAGAACCCAGCCAGGAAGAGGGAGCAGACCCACCTTGTTCGTTCGGAGCTGCAGGAGTCTCCTGTGCTTCCTCATGAGTCCTGGCAGCAGCGTCACCAGTATTTTTGTTTTCGTCCTCTTCTGTCAGTGTGGCCTCAGTTGCCTGTGTTGAAACTGGAGATTCTGTAGAAGGATCTTCAGATGTTTGTAGACTTTCAGCATTTGTGTCATCGGTGTATAGAGTGGTTTGGGTGGTTTCTGACTCCTGGTTTTGGATTTTCTGATCATCATCATCACCATCATCATCATCACTATCCAGATGACTGGAGTCAATGGGGTAACCAAACTCATCCATACAGAAAAAATCAGATTTCTGAATGAAGAGAGGAAATAAGGAATAAGGCTTTATTTTGTACAGATTCACCCACTAATTGAGGGTTAAATACTACACTAAACAGTGCAACAATTCACTATTTATTCTATTTTGATTTACAATCACAAACTATAGTTATTATGAAAGAGTTTGCTTTGTTCAAAGCGTCTAATCTCAAAGTCTATTTACCTGTGTCTCCACTACTTTCTCCACAGTAGCATAAACCTGCTCCTCTTGCACTGCATCCTTTGGAAAATAACCAAACTGTTTGTCAATCTGAAATCAAAAGGAAGCAGAGCAGTGATCACAGTTCTGTGAAGCCCTGGCAGCATTGTGAAAAAAATGAAGGAGGAAGCAAACAGCAACAAGAGTTACAGTCCCATCAGAAAAGAGGCTTGTATAAGAACTCTAAGAATTCAGTAAGATACTTGAAAATAAAAAAATTGAGGTGACTCTTGACGCAATGTGGATTTCGTATCACAGTGGTTCTGGTATCTGTTTTAACTTTATATCAAATATCTGCTTCTGCTGTATATGAGAGCTTATGCAAAAATATTTGTAAACAAAACACAATCATCTCCAAACCAGCTCTGTTTGTACATAACTCATTTTTTAAACTTTAATTTCTGTTATTTCTAAATCCTGACATATTTTCCTAATCTGAGAGTTTGATGTCAGTTTGTCTTGAACTCATTACACTGACAATTTCACATTTTCAGAACTACCTACAGTCTGGCTTGCTTATTTCATGTTTCTTCAGATTCCTAACAATCACTTTTTTGTGCATTCAGGTATAGATTTGTGTTGAACACTCCACAGTTACATAAATAAATAGGGTTAGCTCACATTGGTTCAATCTTTGCTTAAACCAAAGGTCAAAGCAGTGGTGGATGAGCATTACTCAAATTACCATGGTTTAAAATTCAGTGCGAGGAATGGTGTCACATGGGTCAATACTTTAACAAAATCATTTTCACCTTAATCAATAACTTCATGTTATGTCACTGAAAAGCAGAGCAGTTCTTCTACAATGGCTACATAAAATGATTACCAAAATAAAAGACTCACAAGTAGGGGTGATGTTGGTTCAGCACATTAATATGTAGATTAGTGTTTATCATTCTGTCTGTCATGGTACATAATCACATCATTAAGTAAAAGAACTGCAGAGCTCTCAGACATTTGTGTTTATCAGATGCAGCGTTAACATGACTCAGCCAATCAGTGCTGAAAACCTAAACTATCTGTATTATAATCAAGACTAATCTGTTTAACCTAGAACCTGAGATGAGGGATTGTTTACATTCGGTAGTTGATTAATTATATGCTGCTTTAAAGAGAGAATAAGGCAGATATAAAGGCAAATAGATGGAGATATCAAACTCACGCTGCCTGCCCACAGGTCTTCCCTCTTTCCAGTGAGTTTGTGGTAAACAAAGAATGTGTCTCCTTGTCTAAAGCTCAGGAAACGGCAGTCCTTACCATGGTGGTCCTTGATGGCCTGCACTCTGCTCATGAAGCCTACAAACACACACGTAATAGCAACGAGACAAACACAAAGACATAATTTAAGTAAGAACTGGATAGATTGATTAAATGTATGCATGAAAACAGTAAAAAATATCATGATAAAGAAAGCTTTAAATGTGGCTGATTGTATACAAACTAAATATATAGGCTATTATAAACTGGCATTATATATTAGTAGGTAGGACTTACTTTCACATGCAGAATCTCCACAGATCTTGTAGTCAGACAACAATCCCAGATTTAAGTGAGGTAAAATCATAAAAAAGATGCTTGTACCCCACAGGATTTTATAAGCCTGTGAAACAGTCATTCTTGTTGATTTAACAGGAGTGTATCAAGAGAAAATGCCCATAATAGCTTAAAAATAACTCCAGCCAGTTATGCTGGCAAGTGGACATTGCCTCTAAGCTGCTGCTGTCATGAAGACTCAATGCTAAGTAAGAGAGCTGAGATAAGATATGGGCTTAAGGCTAGCGTGAGGATAATTATTAACATCCAAGAGCTGCTTGCAATACTAAACATTATCTGGTCACTGGTCAAAGGTTTTTATTTATTTTAACATAAAAGGGGAACTCTTATAATTTAAATTTCACAGTGAAATAAATAAACAAACATGGCGACATATAATTGTTTTGGCAAGGTAAAACGTGGACTTTTTGTGGACTTCGGACTACAGCTGAAAAAGTTGACAACACGCGTAGCGTTCATCACCATGCCAACCAACGCCGCGCGTAAAGACGACGTCATCACTTCGCGTTTACAAACAAGATGGCTTCCTAGTCGTTGAATAGTTTTACCACCTGTGAAAAATTCGTTGTTTTGGTCGCCAGAGGATATTTCTTTCGTACGTCGGCGCTTCATTTGCACTTGGCAACATTTTGCCTCATACATTTATATAGAAATTAGCTTAGAATTGATACAAAATGAAGTCGGACATGGAGGAGTTAATGCCGAGACTGCTGCCTGTTGAGTTTGAAGCTGGTGCAGAGGAGCTGGACCTGAATGGACCGCCGAGAAACCCCCGGGAATACCTCCGACAAGTCCAGTAAGCTTACCTCAAACAACTCCCCTGTTTGCCCTTTGGATAGTTTAGTAATGTGACTCTATCGGGGGCTGCTGCCATGTACTACACTGATACTTCCACCGGATATAATGTAAATATGATTGTTATCGGAGGGCGTATCAACTAGCTAGGATGATATATCAATTTCAGGGACTATTCTTTATTTATCACAGGACGGGGGTGGCTGGCGTGTGACTTTTTCTTACTTTACTTTTTATTATGGCCCACCCCGAAGCTACAAATATTTTTCCTTGAGTCTCACTCATTTTATTTTTTTATTTAGTTTTCATTTAAGTTTACAATAAATATTGTTTAATGCTTACATTTCCACGCTTTCCTTGCATGTACACTACTCACAAAAAGACACAATGACTGTCAAATTGAACTGAACTTCATTTTTCTGCATCGGTTGGTTCGGTTTGTCATGTGCTTGAATACTGTCTACCTTTCATCAGGTTGGAGGCTTCACAATGTCCAGAGGTGGTGGTTGCTCAGATTGACCCCAAGAAATTAAAGAAGAAACAAACAGTCAATGCCTCTGTGAGTAAATGTACAGTGAGGAATTTCAAATGAAAATGATATGTATATATAGGCTACTGTATTGTACTGTACTGTACACTGTAATATACAGTGCAATATCTACCTTGGCGTTCCTCTTGATGTGGTCTGATATTAGTATATTGAATCCACTTTTTATTAGTAGTCAGGCTGCTTATATAAAGTATTAACTGAGCTACAAGGGATACATGGATAATGTTGGCATGTATGACACTCAGTGAGATGAGATGAATGTATTCTGTGTCTTCAACTGTCTGAGAAGTGTGTCTTGTGTGTCTCAGGTCGCAGGTTGCCATGCTGCTCCTGTGGGTTTCTGCCCCAGTCTCAGCTGGCAGCAGCACCAAGTCAGTAACTTCTCAGATGTCAGACAGGTAAAACAAAACACACACAAAAAAAACAAAATCTCCCAAACTGTACAACAAAACCGTTGTTAAAGAAAGCAAAATCCATTCTGTCTCATAGCACTCTCCCCCTGCACTTAGAGTTTCAGAGGTTGAGGTTGAGTTGTGTTCTGCAAAGGCATGTAATCACTGGAGTATGTTAACTACATGATCTGTTTTCACTGTCAAACTGTTTTTGGGTTCTGTATTTTGCTTTCAGAGCATCACAAAGAACAGGAATCACTGGAGCAGCCAGACTCTGGATGATAATGTGCTGCTGGTAAGGAGATGGCACGATCGCCGAGTTCATTCAGTAGTTGGAAAAGTGTAAAAACTGATTACCATCACCACAAAGGCATCCATTTCTTAATTTGAGCAGAATGCTGATCTGAAATGTAATGTAGATAAATACACATAAGGCAGGGCAAGCTGAGTAAGAGATGTTGTATTTGTTCTTAATTCATATTTGTTATGTGTGTGTCCTACAGCCAACGCTAACAGACGAGAAGGGCTGGATGAGATTTTGTTTAGGAGAGACGGTCAATCTGGGCACGTCTTCCTGCCACACAGATGCTGAACCAGAGCCAGCACTGGACTATAGCAAGGTGGTAAAAGTGTGTGTATGTGTGTGTGTGTGTGTGTGTGTGTGTGTGTGTGTGTGTGTGTGCGTGTGTGTGTGTGTGTGTGTGAGAACAAGAACATCTCATTAAGTAAACCATTAATATGCAGCTGATGTTTTTGTTAATGGTCAGGCAGATCTAATGGAAAGATTTTAATCAATGAAGTTCACAAAGTGCGAAAAACATTCTTAAAACATCTGTGAAATTTCCATCTGTCATTTTAAACACTAGACTGCATTCTACAACTTTTAAACTCTAAAGTGACCACAGTTATAGCTGTTTGTTTTTTAATTATAGAAGAACATGTAATATAATAACCCAAGCATGTGTCTGTGCTCAGGTGGGCTTCCCTCCCTTCCTCAGCATAGTCAGCAGACTAAACCAGGTAAATAACTTCCTCATTTACACATTGAGCTCACACTCAATCAGTTCAACAGTCTGATTATTACATATGTGTTTTTTCCCATCTCTCTGTGTCCAGTCTACCGTACTGATGGTGTTGGAAATTCTAATCTCTTGGTTTGAGGAACACCACTTTGTTCCACAGTTGGTGAGTTAAGTTTTTTTTAAGTCACTCCACATTTTTCAGTTATATTCAGATATATTTTGCCCCCTACTGTGACATTGTGGATAAACAGGACGGTGGCATGTCCATCTTATTCCTCCTAACCAAGATAAAGTATGCGATGAACACATCTACATTTTGTTTTTGCTTGTCCATTCTAATCCATTCCACAGTTGAAATATGAAAGGCTATCATTGTATAATGGTTTGTTTTCTTGTGTGTCTGTATCACCTGTTTGTTTCAGGGTCGCTGGTTGTATGCTTTGTTGGCCTGCCTGGAGAAGCCTCTGCTGCCTGAAGCCCACTCCTGCATCAGACAGTTGGCCAGGAGATGTGCTCAGCTCCGCAGCACACTGGTAGGATTCAGTCTGTACCACTGTCCTCTAGCCTGTGGTTAACTACTACTGCCACCCTCTGTGTAATACTACCTGTGTGTATTTGCTGTACTCTTAGCTCGAAACCTACGAGTTGCTATCTACAGTATTTTGGGGGAATTTTTTGTCTTTCTTTGGTGTTTAAACTTCACTGCAGGGTAGATCACACAACACATGCTAACTGGCAGTGTTCTTTGACAAAATCAGTAACTGGATAATGGTACTGTACTCCTACATGTTAACTATTCACAGGTGTGTGTGCGCTCATTTCTTTGACATAATTTGATTCGTGATGTGATACATTACAGCTGATGATATCTGTATGTGTCTTTCTTTATGAATCCACAGGAGAGTCCGGAGGATGACAAACTGCCCGCTCTCAACCTGCTCATCTGTCTTGTTGCCAGGTATCTACCACTGAGTTGTACTACTGTAATTTATATTGGTCAGGTCACATAAACTCTGATATAACTGGGCTGTCTGCATTAAATCCAACACAAAGAGACTTAGTGCTGTCAACATTTTGTGGTCCTAGCTACCAATATTGTACGTTTAGAGTGATTACACCAACATATTATACTTTGAATGATGTCAGATATAACTTGTGTGCTAAACACTATATGCATGTAATTATGCTAATTTTCCTTTGTCTTTGTTGCAGATATTTTGAGCAGAATGACCTGGCAGACCAGCCGCAGTGAAAGCAGGGGTGAACTATTGACCAACATCAACAAGACAGTGAGAAGGGATGTGTCAAAAGCCCTCTGAGTGATAGAGCATTCAGACAGCAGGCTGTACAATAAAGCAACAAGAAATGACCTAAAGATGGAGAGTCTTTGCCAACTGAGTAAAATCACTGGAGAGAACTGAACATTTCCAAGGATGCAACACTGCAAACAACCATGTAGGGAACTTTGGAGATGCTGCACATTAAAGTTGCTATAAAAGTTGAGGACAGAGCCAAAGGGACTAGATCATGAAAGTAGCCATGTTATTTGAACCTTTGCTGATAAAAATGAACAGCAAACAAAACTAAAGATAATAATCATCTTTTGTTTCTTTGTAAATTTAATTGAGGTTTATGGATGCAATATTTTTCTATTAAACTGTGCTTTGTGGGATAACTACGTGTGGACAGTGTTGGTCATGAAATGTTCAGGCCCCCCACAAATATAGTTGCAAATATTAATACTGTTGCTTTTAAGTTGGACAAAGGGCAAAGCTATAGGTCCAACACGTACAATACACAAGCACTGCACACATCACCAACCATGAAATGTACCAATTCCCACTTGCTGCAGGGTAATGACCCACCAAACATGGCATGACTGCTGCCAGGGGCCTGACACCTCAGATGATCACATTTAGAGAGCCTTTGGAATGAGCCCCTACTCCAGCCATGCTGATGTACAGTCATAGGGTACCAGCACATGACAGACCAAATTCTGTCTTTGGCTAGTCCCCTGTTGGATCATATTAAGCCTGTTGTAAGGAATCTTGGTGTGTGATTTGACAGGAATTTATGTTTTGAGCAGCACATAAAGCTTATGCAATCATTTATCATCTTAGAAATAATTCAAAAATATAAATTAACTGAACTTTTAAAGATTCCTTCATCTCATCACAAATAACTGCAACAGCCTTTTCAACCCAAACAAAGAGGCATAATCACATCTCTCCAGTTTTGGCCTCTATTCACTGGCCCTCCGTATGTGGTAGAATACATTTTAAGATTTTACTGATTACTCTTAAGGCTCTTAATGGCCTCTATCCCTGCTTCATTTCTGACCTCTCAGTTCCATGTGTACTGGTATGTACTTTTGAGATCCTCAGGCAGGGGTATTGCCTCGCTTGAATACCAAAGAGGACAGAGCGTTTGCAGTCAGGGCCCTGAGGCATTGGAGGGATAAACGATCAGATCAGCTGAATCCGTGATCTCTTAAGTCCCTTCTTGAAACATTCTTTTATTGGACAGTCTTTCCTAATTTTACTTGAGTTTCCATTCCTTTTGAACTGTCTTTTGAACTTTAATTCCTCGATTTTTATACAAAACTCTGTCTTTGAAACAGTAAGATCAGATTATTGGTCTTGAAATGCCAAGTTAAAAAGATGCTACATACATACATACTAGAGCTGAAATGATCAATTGATCAATAGAACACTGTCAAACCATAGATAATTGATCAAAATGGAAAGATTTGTTTTTTTTTTGCAGTACTGTAACATAATTACCTTTGGATTTTGGTCTGTTGGTCAGACAGACTGTTTGAATATGTAACCTTAGACGCTGGGATGTGATGAGACTTTGTATTTTGGCATTTAACAGACCAAACGATTGAAAAAAATAATGGAAAATAATGATGAATAATTATGATGCTGAAAACAGTTGCAGCCCAATGTGAGAAAGAAATACCAAACCACACAAATTTTCACTAATAGCTCACCTTTAATATGAAGCAGATTCTCAGTCGGTACAAAAAAAAAAAAAAAAAGATTTCATAAACCAGCATTTGAGCAAATCAAACATGTACCATATGATGACGATACAAGGGCCTTGACATTGATCAAATAGTGGAAATAAATGAGGTTTAACAGCGTGAAACACAACTACTGTACGCTAATGGTTACTGCTACCATAACCACCAACACCCCAGCCTATGGCATTATGATCGGGATGGAAAAAAAAAAATCAAACATTCAACACCAGCTTTTCATCATAGTGCCACAAAGGCCTTCATAAAACCTACATGTCAGGCCAACAATATTTTTTTAAACTGGATTTAAAATGACCACACTATAACCAAGTCTGGAATAGTCTTGCCGTCTTAAACCTGTTTAATATGGGATCCAATCAGAGACAGATGCACCACTGACTTAAGTCCACTTTACATTTCCTTTTGCAAAGTAAAAAATACGGGAGAACTTAGGAAAATCATGACCAGTCATCCACTTCCTTTTCGACATTGATTTATAAATCCCTACAGTGAGAAAAATCCTTCTGTTAAAACCTCAATAAGCCTTTATGTAGCGTTTTAAGGGAAAATACTAGTTTAAAAACCTTTGTCTTGTGTCTTTAAGTAAATAGTTGATTTCTCCCTCAGTGTTTTTTATTTGTAAGTTTTACCATACAGATGCTGAATGAGAACCACATTAGCGTCTCTTGTCCTTCCTGTCTCTATCTTTATGCTCCCTATCGCTGCGGGACGACCTGCCCCTCCCTTCCTCGCTCCTCTTCCTCCTCTCCTTGGATCCCTTCGAGTCCCTCCCTCCTCCGCCACTCCCTCCTCTCTTGCGGTGACTTCGCTCCTCTCCTTTCTTCCTGTCCCTGGCCCTATCCGACGGCCTCCTCTTGCGCTTGCCACTGTCTCGGCTGCGACTGCGGCTGCTGCTGTTGGATGATGAGGACGAAGAGGATGAGGACGACGAAGAGGAGCGGCTAGATCCGGAGGAAGAGGACGAGCTTCCGCTGGAGGAGGAGCCGGAGGAGGAAGAGGAGGAGCTGTTGCTATGACTGCGGCCCTTCTTTGGCTCCTTTTCCTTCTTCCTCCCTCTCCCACCGTCCTCTTCCTCCTTAGAGGGTGCAGGGGTAATGCTGGGGGCCTCCTGGGAGTCAGGAAGTTTTGGGGGTGCTTCGTCCCCTGGTTTCCCTTCCACAGCCTGGGTCTCAGTGGCTGAGTTCTGGACCTCAAGGCCAGGGATGATGCAATCCTGCCCAGGCACCATGAAGGCTGTTTGGGGTTCTAAGGGTGGAGAGGATCCCTGGGCCTCAGAGGACTTTTCTGCTGGTTCCTCTGTAGCGTGGCTGAGCTGGGGCTGGTGACTGATGTCTGGTGCATCTTGGCTGGTTATAGTTGGTTCAGAGGACTGGGTGTCCTGGGTCTTTTCATTCTGGAGGTCTGTGGGCTCCTGTTTACTGTCTGTTTCTCCCCCCTCACCCTTACTCCTGTCTGCCTGCTCTGGCCCACCCTCCACCTCCATCTCCTCTGACCTTGGACTTGCCTCCTTCTCGCCCTTCTCCTCGCTGTCCTCTCCTCCTTTAACCCCCTCCTCTCCTTCCTTCTTCTCCCTTTCCTCCCTCTCCTCACTCAACTCCATTCCCTCCACCTTTTCTTCCACCTTCTTCAACACCTCCTTCTCTTTTTCCTCCCTCTCCTCACCCTTGTCCTTCTCCTTCACCTTTCTATCCCCCTCCTTTCTCCTCTCCTTCTCTTCCTCCTCCTCATCTTCCTCCTCCTCTTCCTCCATAACTGCAATCCCCTTGTTACCTGTCACCTTGACTACCTGACCTGCTGGCTTACCCTCCGCCGAGTGGTCCATCCCTGTTGCTGCCGTGTTGCCATCCTGGTCACGGTTTGGCTGTCGCCGGGGCCGGGACTCCATCTTGTTGAGGTGCTCGGCAAAAGCCTCACGCCTCTCCTCAAACACAGCTGCCCAGAAAACAAAAACAGAGATCAACAGGCGTTAGAAAGTGATAAACACATGCAAAGCAGTTTTCTCTAAAACGAATTCTCTAAAAGAAGAACCCTACTGACCATTTAGTTTCTTGGTGGAGTCATCGAGGAGTTTCTGTGAGGCGGAGCACATTTTTCCAGGCACATAGAATATATGAGGCTTGGTCTTGGTACGAATGTATTTCACCAGACGATTGTTGTGGCTCGTCCACTCCTCTTGCTGTGCCATGAAGGAAAAGAGAAGGTTAAATACAAACTCTCTCCAAACATGACAACATATCTTTGCATTCCTTTCCTAAACCACTCATCTCTGAATACAAACAATCTGTCAGTGCTGTAAATAACCTAATCTTAAAATTTCACAGACATGTAGATATTCCAGTCACCTGTCCAATGCTTTCATTTTTAGATCTCAATGTCTCTTGTTTCTACCGGCTCCAAAATGTTGTTCAGAAGCATTTTCTTACCAGCTGAGCTAATTCCACTTTCTGTTCCAGTAGCCTCAGCTCAGTCTGTTTGGCTCTCCTCTCTTCAAACAGCTCCCTCTTTTCACTCTCCACCTTCTTTTTCTCAGCCTCAGCTTGAACCTCAAGCTTCTGCTCAATCTCTGAACGTCGCTTTTGCTGTGGGGGCAAAACCAAAAACAAACAAACAAACAAACAAACAAAAAAACAGTGACGGGATTAAGGAGGGGAAGAGTTTAAGAGGAAGATAAACAGTGGTAGTGCACAAGCATGGAAATTGTATTGTGTAAATACTGTGTCAGCAGTTGGGTTTCCCCAGCATAAAAATCCTGCTCTCATCCATTACTTTTTTATTTATAAAATCGGAGAACATAAATCAACCCATTTTTTCTTTTATTGATCAGTTTGGTTTCAGTGACCAATCTAATTCAGTACCTAGGTCAAAGTGTAATTAGATCAAAATATTTCAGGGGCAGTTTGTTGTCTTTGCCTTGTTGGATGATAGTAGCCAGTATGAAGAACAATTCTTAATATACACAATTCTGGTGACCGCCCTGTGGGTTCTGCCATCTTGCAGTACTGCCATTACTGCAGTGGCAAGTCAGCAGTGACAGCAGAACAGGTTTAAGGCTTTTCTGAATTATCTCAGTTAACTGATGACAAATGTTGGCATTTGACTGTCTGCCAAAAAATAATAAATAAATAAAATTCACTCCCAACAAACAAAACAAACAGAGTTGCCGGTGTGGTGGAGACTTTCAGCCAAATGCGTCTGTGCTTGCTCCATATAACTTAAATAAATAGTTGCCTTAGATAATAAACAGACAAAGATATTATAGGGAGACGACACCACAGTACCAGCGTCTTATTTACTTTCAGTCCTTCCTCGGATTCATCTATACCTCTGTTTCCTACTGAGGGTGTCTGTTTATTTGCTTTGTTTGGCCTCTTCAATGACAGTCAGCTCAACAGTTCACTGATAAACTGAACAGATTTTCCTCACCTTCTCTGTGGAGACGTTGGACTCTTGTTTAAATTTTTGTAGGGTCCCCATCAGCAGGCCGAACATACGCCGATTCCTGAACAAGAAAACAAACACCATTTCACACAATTGCAGGTTTCAGCCGCACAATGATAAATATTTTTGTGTGTGCCATTCCCCATTTTCTTTCTTTGCTGGTGCAATTCAACAAATGTGACTATAAAAAC